CCGGAACGCTGCCGGGAATCTGCGTCCTACTCGCCGGAGTCGGAATGACCTGCTTAGCTGCCCGGTCAGGCGCGTGTAACCTCTGGTTGGCTTTTATAAATTAACATTACTAAAATTATATTATTGAAGTGAGTCAAACATAAAACTGAAATAAAGCCAATTTCTTTGAATTCTCGATATTCTTGGTTGGTTTTTCCCACTTCAAGTAGAATTTATATATGCTGATATAGAAAACTAATGTCCATATTAGATAATATTTACAGAACGGTGTATTTTGATTAAAAGCCTTCAATAACTGGAATGATTTGTTGTTCTTTTTAGGCCTTGAGTCTCATAATAGTGCAAATAGGTTTTTCTTAATTTTTCATTGGTGGGTCATATATCATTTGTTCATATTTATCATCCTTTCGCACATTTTGTATTTTCTAGGGAGGTGTCAAGATTTTTTATTTGGCAAGAAAAGCTACGAAGATTTAGTAAGACATTTTAAGGATTGATATGTTTATACTTATTTATGTATATGCCTCACTTTGTCATTAGTGTCATAAGCGCGGTCTTTTAAACTATATTTGGTGGCATGTAGCATCTCTTATGGTGTGAGTTCCATGATTTTTTTCTTAAATTTCAGCCACCCTCAACCTCTTTTCCTGGCTCCGCCCCTGATTTCGAGGATGTTGAATTGAAGTCTATAAAAAAGGTGACATATTTCAATTACAAACATAATAAATCAACAATCAAAACCATATTAGAGTGCTTTTAGATCCAATTCATTTATATATTCAAACATTCAAAGTGTTCTAAAGTTTTGAAACATAAATACAAGTGCTTAAGTATTTTATTTATCAAGGCTTGATTAATCCTACAAATCATTTGACAAGAGTCCCTTTAAGCACCAATTAAATCCTAGAGGAAGCAAATATCGACAATGATCTTGCGTTGGAGCATTTCTACCATATTTAGCTTTCTTGATTCTTTCTTTTTTGTTGTTTTCTCCATTCCCTTGAAGATAATATTCCAACAAATATTTCTCCCACCAAAATGGCAATTTTTTTCATAACAAGTAGCACAATGAATAAAATCTATATAGATAAAGGAATTGTAGATATTCAACAGACAAAATATATCATAGTCAAACAGAAGTTAAAGCGTGAAAACGAGCAAACTAACCGCAAAAATCGAGAGCGATTTTCAATCCACTGTTAGCGCCATGAGTATACTCCTCCTCGTTGCGAATCGAACCATTGGGACCTCCGGTCTTCGTGTTCACATCATAAGTCCCCGCATCATGCCACCTTTAGATTCAATAGAAACAAAACCAAGCAATTAACTTGAATTCGATAATTTCCGAAACACCAAAAAGAACCCAAATTAGTAATTAGATAGATATGATATAGATATAGATAGAGAGAGCGGGTACGCTAAGCGAAGCATGATAGGGGCGCAGTTTTTGTTGGATATAAGAGCGCGGAGTTCACGGCGAGCTTTTTCGATTTCTTTGAGGTACTCCGTATCGATGATAGGCTTCGCCATTGGAATTCTGAAAAATCTAGTCTGGTACTGATGACGATGAGATAAGATAAGATAATTTGAATGACGACTGGCACATAAATAAAGGAGAAGAAAAACAGAGCTCCTGAAAATGATGACTGGAGCATTGGGCTTTTTGTTTGGGCTCATTGGTTTCTGCCGTTCGATTACAGATGGATTGCGTTAATTTTCGCTGAACGTAAATTTTTTGAGAAAGGATTTTATTAAATATAAATTTTTTTTATTAATCCATGTATTAAATTATTTATCGAGAGAGTATAATTGAAAATAAATTTATGAAAAAATAATTTTTTAAAAAATTGTATCTAATATGGACTTAATTATAAATAGATAGAAATTGTCATATAATTCATTTATATGGAAAAATGAATTTTAAAAAATTTGTACCGACTACATTACTCGTCATGTAATTCAATTAAATTGCCGCACATACAACCAAGTAAGAAGAGGAATACAATCAACCCAATGTGATCATAAGAAGCGAGACAATGGGCCACTGAATTCTTATTTATAAAGTGACGAGAACCCCATCTCGTCTCCTTATTGTGATAACTTGTATTCGACATGAAAATCCAAGCTTGGTGAAATTATAGAATACCATGATAATCATCGACAAATTCTATGCATACCATCTAGTGATTTCAACATGTAATAAGATGAAAAACAATCGGAATAATTTTTATGAAGATTGGTTGATAAAAAGGGTTCCCACATTTTTTCCAGACAACATACCATTTTATTTTGCACAAAGAAAATGAAAATACAACAATTCGCCCCACATCAAGCTTTAACCTCGATAATGTACACATGCAACATACAAAGATTTTGCTACAACCATGACCAAAATAGACAGTATATTTGTCATCACACAAATCTCTCTCCAGGCTCGAGGTGATGTTTCAAGAGAGAGGATCGGCCTCAAGATGATGTACGCCATTGCAGCTCGATTTGAATCTTTCCATTCTTTGAATCTATGAGATGGTATTTCTCATTGATCCTTTTGTTGTTTACAACATCTGCGAGACTGATGTCGACATATCCCAATGTTTCCTAATTTTCGAAACAAAATAGTGAAATACAGACAGTTTAGTCCCCATAAAAAGCAGGTGTAAATAGCAAGCAATTCTAGTAGCCTCTTTATCGGAACCTTTCTCTTATTGAACCTTCCTTGCACCATCGATTTGGAAGGACAGTGTATCAATGCAATAGAACATTTATGAGCATTTTTTGGCCATTGTTTCTCGTATTTTGCAGTTAAAACACAAAATTTTGTTGTAAGCAATTACTTGTTCAGTAGTGCAAGAAAAGTGCTCAATATACCTTGGGATGCAGCAGACCAATTCTTGTTGAGGTGCTGAGTACCTCCACGTGTAGCTTCTCTTTCAAAGGAGGTTCTTCCAACATGAATGTGAACTCCTCCTCCCATCTTGGATCTCTGTTTTTCTTTAAATGCTGTTGCAACAAAAGAAATCATATGTAAGCATCAAGTTGTGTAAGAGACAATTACAGTTATGCAAAGGTTATGGTGGGTAGTTAAATATTAACTTCCTTTTATTTTTTGGTAAAATGTGAGTGTTGTCCAATCTTCTCTGTCATTAATTGCTAGAGGTAATATTCATATGAACATGAATTACAGAAGATCTACAGAGTGTGAAGCTTGGTCACTAGTATTGATAAAACATTTTTATAACTGCACTTCTAACCAATTTAAGAGATTGGAAAGAGCTTCTTCTTTTAGCAAAGTCAGAACAAGCACAAGAGAAGATAAAAGTTAGTTACGCACCTTAGTTTTGTGCTCCTCTCCTTTGAAAATGATACGCACATATGGGTTAGTGTGGTGCTTTCCTTCAAGATCTTGTGCTTCATGGACTATAACCACTAGAACCCCTCCACCAAGTGGTGTGCCTTCAGGAGCCTTTTGCAATTGATTGTCATCTTTCAACATATCACCCTCCTTGAAAGGTTTGTATGTCAACTCTACCACAAGCTGTCCACGGAACTTATCATCTTGAGCATCATTTTGATCCAGGTTCTTGAGAAGATCCAGTGTCATGACATTCGGCTCATCAGGGGTAAGTTCCTTTAGAGGAACTACGTTCATACCCATCTTGTCATGTTTACCCACCTGAGGAGTAATACAAACAGCTTGGGTACAGAGGAGAATAACCAGGAAAAAATTAAAATAACAAGTTCCAACCTGTAATGGGAAACATGTACCTGTTCCCAATCATAAACAATAAGCTCCAGTGCTTGCGATTCTGGATCTTTAATAACAATACTAAATTCCTCATTCCACTCAGGGTTCAAATTCTTATGTTTCACTGTAGTCTTCTTCGACGGAGCCTTAGATTCAGTGATTTTCAGTTTCACGTATGGATCTGATGCCCCTAACAAGTCTTTCTTTCTCAGCTTCATTGCCCTCAGAACCTTCACATGGAGAATCCCAACAGGCTTCTTCATAGCTCTAAAGGTCCAAAGTAAATTAATTAGTGCGTGTATGAAAGACCATCTTGAGGGCAAGTTTTTACAATTTTATTATCTATATATAAGAAAAACATACTTGGTTGGATCCAGAATTTCCACTTCTAGGGTTTTAGGCCACAGATACATGTTAGCAACTTGATCTTTGATAAGCTCCTGAAGAGAAGAGATTCACACAAATGTTAGTGTGCATGTGATCTTATGAATATCAGAATTAAACCGGTTGAAAACAGTCATAGCACATAAATGTCGAGGAACAAAAGGTGTATGCCCATAAAATTCATTTAAGCTGATGAAATTCCAGATAACAAGTTTAACACTACGGACAAACATATACGGTTGAGCTTAAAAAAAGTAGAGTTACCTTTATGTAACTTTTTGTCTCCATACATGATGACTTACTTTACTCTTAATTGTAAGTAAAAATAGCTCTATCTTTTTGGAAGTAACTCTTACCTTGCTACGAAAAGAAGTAACTTATTTTCATTAGAAATTAAGTACTTTTAAGCGAACATTATAAGCTTAGCCAAACATTCTCTTAGAAACTGGGAACATATGGAACCTGTACTAGCCTTCTCTTTTACCAGTCACACAAGGGGAGATATGCGCAAGTTTTCTGAATACCAATTCAATGCAGAATAAATTCTAAATTTTGATGCATCCAATGTTCTCAACTGAGTCAAAGCATTATATTGGTGAAATCGCTGCTCATATTCATTTTATTTTCAAATGCCACGGTTTTCAAGATGAGATATCATAAGCTTTTAAATAGAATTGATTGAAAAGGGATTGTACCTGTACAAACCTGTAAAGGCCAGGAATTGACATGAGATCAGCCCCAAAAAGCTTAAGTCCAAAGTCAACATGTGGCTGAAAACAACGCACGCCATTCAAGAGAAAAATAAACAAGCAGAGCATATGTGCATGCGTTTAAAGATATTTAAGACTATATTAACTGAGTCTTGGAAAGCAGCACAATTGATTTTACTAAATTTTTGTACTCATTTTCATATCAAAAAAAAAAAAAAAAAAAATTGTACTCATTTTAAAAGCATTTCAATACTGTCCATGAAAATTCTTACTCTCAAGCTATTAAAGAAACAGTTCTCCAGGAGTCAAATATTTTGTCATGACAATTGATTCCTAAAAATACCATCATGTACCTTCTCCATGAGAGAGACAAAGATTTTAGCAAAACAAGGAAAGCTTGGAACAAGGGGCTTTAAGGTGATGCGTGGTTGAGCAAAGATTTGCAAATCCACAACCTGCAACATTCAAATTACAAATTCGTATTTTCAAAGTAAATCAAAGAGTCTAAAACTGTCAGAATCAAAGATAAAAGTCAGCAACAGACTATCTCATAGCATTTAGATTACCACACAACCTGAACAGTTGCTTTTAGACCGAATGCTTTAACACCCAGTGTGACATTAGGATTCCCTGCCCATTTCAGAGAAGGCTCCATAATCAATTCTTTTTCTTCAGTAGAAAAGACCTTCATACCTGCCATGAAAAGTTTTGGCAGTTTATATAACAATAAGAAGAGAGATTGTTAGGCCCTCAGTCCAATTTAAATACCAAAGGCGCAACAATAGAACAAGGGCAGAACAGGAAATGAATGAAATGATGAATTCACATTCAACAGGTGCACAATCAGAGAATCAGATAGAGGAATTATGGGAGGACAACAAGATATAAATAGGGGGAAATGGTTTCAGAAAGGGGCAGTCAGAAATTGGTATTTTCCTTGGGAGAGCAATGGACCACTCGAACGTCTATTTATCTTTATTTTCATTGTTGCTGAATCACATCTTTAATATCACTGCCTAGTTTCTGTTTATAGCAGAGCCTTACTCCTATCTTTTATAAGAATTACAGAAATATATATTACAATTTCCAGCTTGACCTATAGTGTTTCTGTCTTCATCTTCATTATCAGAGTTATGCATACTTATTGAAACACATTCTCTAAGGCTATAAAAAATAATCCAAAGCACAAACACTTAACAGACGAGAAAATGGAATAGGTGCAAACTGTGCACGTGAAGGGGATGTACATATGAGAGTTGGCATACTTCCCAAGCAGAGGTTGATGCAGAAGAAAAAGGAAGGAGGATTCCCTTGCCTACCCCTCCCATAAATGCCGCCCCTATTTCCAAGTGAGAAATGATGTTGCACTATACATTATTCAAGATTGAAAACATCATACACAGGAAAAAGGATGCAGAAGGGGTATCCTAAACTTGTAAATTTGCAGATTCGATAATGGAACATCAAGTAAACCACCAACATCAAATAGACGTTTCATCTTTTGTCTAACAAATAAAAAATGAACATAAATACCGATTCCTCGACATTCTCGAGCAAGTCTCCCATATCACTGACATCAATATTAAGAAACATGATATACATGGAAAGGTGATGGTGGGTAACATAAAAATTCCCAGATCTTTCAAGTCTCTCGCACCACTGAAAGACTTCAAAATCTTATCATTCTAATACTCTTTTCCATGTTCCAACGTAACCATTGCTCTTGAAATCCACTTTACAAGGCCATTGCTTAAAAGTACTTGATTTCTCTGTGCTTTCTTCTTTCAGTGTCCTTTACCATTTGACAATTGTAGGTTCTGTAGGAAAACTGGAATTCT